AGGGCCTTTACCTATATATATATATATATATATATATATATAAAGTGGTGAGCGGAGATTTTTATATCTTGGGCCAAGACTTGCTTTTGGTCAAAGGAATTGATTTGTGCGTGTGTGTTTGGGGTGTGGGAGTCTCAGTATGATTAATTTCTCCATGAACTCCATTATGGGTCAGAAAAATACCCGTCTCCATCTATTGGAGGCAAGGAAATGCTTCTGGGTCAAGCCCAGAGTGACTTCTGCTAAGTCTAGTTGTATCTCTGACTCCTCAACATAGCTGGCTAAGGCAAACAGTATTGACCAGTAAACACTTGCTAAAAAGAGAGCAAAGAGTTTTTAAATTGAGAGAGTATTAAAAATGAAGCTTCGCATACTCGCTCTGGAAATCCTCTGGACAGAAACCAGAAGTTTCCCAAAGTGACTAAGAGGCCCAAGGACCCTGCAGATCCATTCAGGCCATTTGTATTTCCACTTCCTATTAGTCTTCACCATCATCACTCTGCGGGCGCAGGGCGGAGTATGGAAGGCGTGCTTCTCAGTCTCGGCCAGGAGACCAGGAGTAGTACACGAGCAGTTGACCAAGTGAGGTGGCTTTGGGCTCACCGTGCTTTCTGCAGAGAGCAGCCCCAAAGCCCCTCAGAGTGGGAGCCACTCTGGTCAAATACCGCCTCCACACCTGCCACTGCTTACCTGGGCTGCCAGGACAGCTGGCAAGGAGAACAGTGTTGAAATGCCCTCCCAGCAGAACTCCAGGCGAGCAACACGCTAAGCCGTCAGAGGAAAAGCAAAGGGATTGGAGGGGGCAGCTCCCACTAAGGTGCCTCCTCAGGGGATTCCTGTGTGTTGTCTGGATCCCACAGCCCTTCCTGCTCGTTCTGCTCTGGTCCTGCTGAACACATGAGGAAACGCCTTCGGAAATAGTACATGAACTTTCTCCAGGGTAGCAGGGAAGGTGGGTTCAGCGCCTTCATGACCAAGTGTCTGAACTCCCAAACGCCAGTCTCACGATTCTGCTGTCACAGAGATGGGAAGGACATGCGGCAAACACAGGAAACTGCGAAGGGAATCAAAGAGCCAGCAACTCTGCTTTCAGGGAGGCAGCCTTAGTGCTGGTTAGGCTCTCTCTGATGAGTGAACCCAGTACAAACAAGCATTAAAAGCAGGAAGGATGCATCTCCCATCCCAAGAGTCATTCACTTAGTGGTCCCTTCTCCATCCTAGATGCCTTTTCCTCCAGCATGTGAGGCCAGCTTCCAAGCCGTGGAGCAATCCTCCTGGCCTTATCTCTATGATGATGGCCACTTACTACCTGTACTGCAAACCATAACACCCAAAAGGAGAGAGAGAGAGAGAGAGTTAAAGGGAATGCGCCTGCCACAGAGGCGGGGGTGGGGGGGACAGGAGGGGATGACGGGAGGGATACTGGGAACATTGGTGGTGGAGAATGAGCACTGGTGGAGGGATGGGTACTCGATCATTGTATGACTGAAACACAATCACAGTCTGTAAGTCTGTAACTATCTCATGGTGAGTCATTTAAAAAAGTTAAAAAATTTAAAAAAGAAAAAGAAAAGCAGGAAGGAATGGAAGAAGCCAGAGAGGAAGAGGTAAAGGTAAAGGTAAAGGCCCTCACCGTTGATCCTCGACTTGCTCGAGCGGGCCCAGTAACGTCTCCATTGGAGACTTTGTTGTTACTGTGTCTGGCATATCGAATACTCCCGGTAGCTTGCCGGGCTGACTTTGTCTTTTCTTTCCCCAAAAAAACCCACTGACGCTCTCTTGCATGGCGGGTGATTAACTCGGGGGCTCCTGAGACACTTTTCCCACTTTGTAGAAACAGGTACAATTTTTGAGCAAAGAAGATAGTGAAATCTACCTCCCCTTTCCAATCCACTTGTACTTAAAATCAGAAACGCTTCCCCCTGTGACAGTCAAGCATTTCAAGTGCCAGACACTTGTCCTTCTGTGACCAAGAATCAATCACCGTGGACACTGACTAGGGCGAAGAGGGGATATCAGGACAAGAGATAAAGGCACACAATGGCGTGGGGGACGAATCTAGCTAGAACACTCTCCCTCCACCCCAGCAACAGGGACATCCACTCACGTTCCCTATTGCCACACTGGTCAGGGTCACCGCTACAATTCTCCGAGTATCATTGTCTTGAGATGAACTCTCTCATGGGTCAATAAAATTTTCAAACACTGTTATGGATCGCTACCAAAACTGAACACCCGTCTAATGGGGACTCGGGACAGAGATGCACAGACTAAATGGGTAGAACCCTTGGCGAAGCACATCTCGGCTGGATGTTTTGTCTGCCAAACGCTCTCACTCTATTCACACACACACAAATTACCCCGGGTCAGAGAGGTGTTCGGGAGATAATAGCGACACACAGAGAGACTCTCTTTGACGTCTGAAAGACCGAAATGGACTTGAAAGGAAAATTATATCCTCACTCCATGACTCAATTATAGTCAATGACAACTTCACAGACCGCCCCTATGACTTCACCAGGAACAGTGGTGTGCATTCCACAGAGGCTAAAGGCACCCCCCCCCACCCCTGCATCTTCCCAGCCCCCAGCAGCTCTGCAGGATGAACCACAGTCTTGATGCTTGAAGCATGGACAATGCCAGCAGTTCCTGGCCTCAATCAGGCCCCCACTTTCATCAAGCCCCTTTTTGCTTACACGTGTGTCCCCAAAGCACCTCGTCCACTGAGCACCCAGTTGCATGGTGGGAAGTTCTGTTCTTGGGAAACCATAAAAGAGATCTCTCTTACCCTCCCTCTTTCCAGGTTTTTTTTTTAATTTATTTTTAAATTTTTATTACTGAGACACCATGAGGTACAGTTGTAGACTTACGAATTTTTGTGCTCGGGTTTCATTCCAGGTTTTAAGGGATAAGACCATGTCTCCCAACAGAGACCAAAAGTACCTGCACCTGGGTGAACATCTGTCCCAGGTGAGGGAAACACGGTGTGTGTGTGTGGGGAGAGCACTTAGTCTGAGACACAAAGTCCCATAATATAAATTACACAAGAGGCAGTATATGTATATTGCTTCAGGTTGAAATGACAGTATGGCATACTTGTGAAATATAGCTCCTTATTAAAATCTATGTCACCCATCCACTTTTGCCTTTTTACGGGGGCGACAGGAAGAGGTACCCTTACACACAAGGATGACAGGAGAAAAGCTGGCGCCCGTCTCCTCTGTGGTGAATGATGGATGACTCAATCCATCATAAAGTAAAAGTTTGCCCTCAGATCACAACAGACTGTGAACATACAAGCCGGCCCTCTACAAGCTAAACGTCAGTACCTTAAGTGGCACATACTGAGAAAGCTTTGCCATGTCTGTTCAGTCTATATTAATAATCTTTATAATGGCATAAGAAAACAAATATCTCCTCACTTGTAACATTGGAAAAGAGGGGAGAAGTTTCCACACTGTGAGTGGACAAAGAAAGCAAGCCAGGTGGCCCAGACGTGTTCGCTAATCAAAGATAGACTTTTAATGAGATTTTATCTTTGATGGAAAGTATAAGTCTGAAAGGCACAACTGAGTCATGATCTGCTTCTGGGCTTAATTTTTATTTAATTCCAGCTCCCTGGTATTTTTGATAGGGAGTTCTGAATTTACACTGGATATTTCAAACTTGCCTTCTCAGCTCCTATGGGGGGAGGTTTGGGGCGGAATACTCATTTTGAATGAATGGAGGCAAAGGGAACTCTAGGCTCCCTAGAAACTCTGGTCTCGCCTCACCCCCGAACTTCCGTAAGTTTGGGTACTTTTGTGGGTGAGCAGCCACCGGGGTATAGTAAGGATTTAATTCCCAGCTGCTGGGTAGAAGAAACCTGGGCGTTTGGAGAGAGGTGAGCCTTTTTTTTTTTTTTGGCATAACTGGCATAGCTGACTTGCCACTATCCCACTCAAGGAACTTGGTATATGCAACGGATATTTCTGGAATTCTATCTTATCATCTGGGAAAAATAATTGCCTATCGACTTTTCGGGCTAGGTATGCGAGCTAATGAATCATGCTTCAAAACCAGTTAGCAAATGGTCTCACACACAACATAGTACTTGAAACTAGCTGTTATTCTTTTAGAAGCATTTTCTTTTTTCTTTTTTTTTCTGGGGGGGTGGGAAGGATTTGATACGCGATTCTTTGCCGGAATTTTCTCGTAGCTCCTGAGCTGTGCTTATTCTCTTAAGCTGTGTCACTCTCCTGGGAAAGCATCAGTTTGGGGCTGTTGTGAGTCTGGGGTGCTTGGAGGAGAGCAGAGCCACGCTCAGAACCTCAGCCATGCCCAGGGCTTGGTGTAACCCAGGCCGGGCTGTCTGAGCCCAGAGTCAGCTCCGGAACGACACAGTACCAGTAGCTGCTTCCCCAGCACCTTCGTCACCCAAAGCAGAGCCACTGAGCTCAGACTCGCTCTGTTCCAAAGGACCCAGCTCCCAGGGACACCCAGAACATCTCAGATCTACGGCAGGAAACTCCTCTTGCGAACCGAGATTGCAAGAAAGTTTAGTCCCGGGTCCAGGGAAAGAAGAAAACGGAGTTGATCGCTTCAGGAGGAAAGGAAGGAAGGGAGGGAGGTGGGAGGGGACAGAAACCCACCCACTCCAGTTCAAGGGAACCGCTCAGAGACCATCACCATTCCCTATCACGAGAGCTTGGGGTAAAATACAAATATATGTGTGAGTATGTGTGTGTGTGTGTGTGCGCGCGTATGTATGAGTGAGTGTGTGGGGGGCAGTATGTGGTATATATGTAATATGTGTGAATGTATGTGGGAGTGTGTGTGGCAGAGTATATTTATGTGTGAGTGTATGTGAATGTGTGTGAGTATGAGTGTATATGTGGTGTGTGTGTGTGTGTGGCGAACATCCAAGCCCAGGCCTCTGTACCCAGGGCCTCGTGGAGCCCCATCAAAACCCATCCGCGCGGTGCCGCTGAGATGGACGGCCGAAGCCTCTGCTTTCTGACCTTGATCAACAGGAAGAAAATTTCAGCTGAACTGTGCACAAGTGCTGGGTGACATAAATCACATTTGGACAGGGTGTCCTCTGTCCACTGTGGCAAGAGAGCCAATCCCATCCCGAGACTCGGGTTGATCAAACACAGCGATGAGAGAGGGGAGAGAGGGAGAGGGGGAGAGAGAGAGCGAGCGAGTGAGAGAGAGAGAGAATTTAATTAATGCTCCCTCCCATGCTGTAGCCCCCGCCCCGAGCCCATAGCCGCCCCCTCCTCCTGGAGATGACAGGACGCTTGGAGAAAACAGACTTAATTATCTCCTAAACGCATTTTTTAATCCCGAATTTTAAAGAAACTCGTACCACTAAGAAACGTCACGGGGAGAGTCAACGGGCTCGTGTCTTTTAAGTAAAGTAAGTGACACGTGAAAATAATAGCTCTAATGAATGGTATTAAAAGAGGAGATTAAAAATTCAGACCCAATTAACACAGAATTGGGAGAGATGAAAGTCTCATCACAGACAAATCACGCTATTAGCATGGACACGTGGACACCCCCTTGTCTCCCCGCACCGCCACATGGTTCGAGGAGTGAAGGGACTGGGAAAGAGTTGGGTGGGGGCATGCAGCTGGAGTCACCCTAGCAGCCGGCGGTGTAGATGGGGCGGAGACTCCGGTGTCCTGAGCCCTCTCCTCTCTCGGGAGAGGCTGGGGGCGGGAGGATGCACCCTCGGGCACCGTGCTCCCCGCCTGAACCCTTCCCGGGCACTGGCGGCCTTCATCACGCCTCCCCCTGCTCCCCAGAGCCATGCTCCCTGCAGCCACCCGGCACCTGCTCTGAGGAAGCCGGAGATGCCAACTCGGTGGGTGGCTTTCGTGAGTCGCATCAGGCCACTGGCATCAGCCCCCACTCCCTGACCCTCCCTTTGTGTCTGGCTTGGAAGGGGGGTTTTCCCCCTGCTGACCCTAGTGATCTCTGACCCATCGGCCTCTCCTCCCTGCACCCCACCCCAGCCCCCGGCTTCTTGCAGAGGGAGCGGACACCCCGGGGGGCACCAGCACCTGCGGGCATCGAGCCCAGCCGGGCAGGTCTGCGAGCCGGACAGAGCTCCCTGGCATCAATGAGGCCCATCCCCGCAGTTCCGGTCACTCTCCCAGACCACCGGGCTCTGGTCCCTGCTTCGGGCTGAAAGATCCGCCCGCCTTTAGGTCTCCCGGAAGCATCTTGGAGACAGGATTCCGCCACCAGGACTCGGCTAAGAGCGGGCTTGGAAGCCAGAGGCCAAATGCTAGTGACTCTGAGGGACGGCACACGGGACGCGCTGTGGGCCAGGCCCCGGCCCATGGAAACCAGCTCGTAGGGTAAAAGGCAGGAGGGATGCGGACGTGGAGTAAACGTGCTGTCCCGTGCGGTGCCCAGACGCGAGCACCAGGTGGGTGAGACTGGGAGGGTGAGTACCAGGAGGGCGAGCACCAGGAGGGAGAGCATCAGGAGGGTGAGTACTGTGAGGGCGAGCACCAAAAAAGCGAGTACTGGGAAGGCAAGCTCTGCGAGGATGAGCATCAGGGGGGCGAGCACTGTGAGGGCAAGCACTTAGAGGGTGAGCATACGGATGAGCACTGGGATGGTGAGTAACAGGAGGACAAGCACCATGAGGATGAGCATCAGGAGGGTGAGCACTGTGAGGACGAGCACCTAGAGGGTGAGCATAGGGATGAGCACTGGGAGGGTGAGCACCAGGAGGGCAAGCACCGTGAGGATGAGCATCAGGAGGGCGAGCACTGTGAGGGTGAGCACCGAGAGGGTGAGCATAAGGATGAGCACTGGGAAGGTGAGTAACAGGAGGACAAGCACCGTGAGGATGAGCATCAGGAGGGTGAGCACTGTGAGGGTGAGCACCGAGAGGGAGAGCATAAGGGTAAGCACTGTGAGGGTGAGCACTGTTAGGGCAAGCACCAAAAAAGCGAGTACTGGGAAGGCAAGCTCTGCGAGGATGAGCATCAGGGGGGCGAGCACTGTGAGGGCGAGCACTTAGAGGGTGAGCATACGGATGAGCACTGGGACGGTGAGTAACAGGAGGACAAGCACCATGAGGATGAGCATCAGGAGGGTGAGTACTCTGAGGGCGAGCACCTAGAGGGTGAGCACAGGGACGAGCACTGGGAGGGTGAGCACCAGGAGGGCAAGCACCGTGAGGATGAGCATCAGGAGGGCGAGCACTGTGAGGGTGAGCACCGGGAGGGTGAGCATAGGGATGAGCACTGGGAGAGTGAGCACTTGGAGGGCGAGCACCTAGAGGGTGAGCATACGGATGAGCACTGGGAGGGTGAATAACAGGAGGACAAGCACCATGAGGATGAGCATCAGGAGGGTGAGCACTGTGAGGGTGAGCACCGAGAGGGAGAGCATAGGGATGAGCACTGTGAGGGTGAGCACTGAGAGGGCAAGCACCAAAAAAGTGAGTACTGGGAAGGCAAGCTCTGCGAGGATGAGCATCAGGAGGGTGAGCATAGGGATGAGCACTGCACTGGGAGGGTGAGCACTGGGAGGGCGAGCACCTAGAGGGTGAGCATAGGGATGAGCACTGGGAGGGTGAGCACCAGGAGGGCAAGCACCGTGAGGATGAGCATCAGGAGGGCGAGCACTGTGAGGGTGAGCACCGAGAGGGTGAGCATAGGGATGAGCACTGGGAGGGTGAGCACTGGGAGGGCAAGCACCAAAAGGATGTGTACTGGGAGGTTGAGCACTGTGAGGATGAGCACTGGTTGAGTGAGCACTGGGAGAGCAAGCACTGTGAGCACAGGCACTGGGAGGCTGAGCACTGTGAGGGTGAGCATGGGAGAGTAAGCACTGAGAGGGTGAGTGTAGGGGGGCGAGCACTGTGCGGGTGAGCACTGTGCGGGTGAGCACTGTGCGGGTGAGCACAGCTCTGGAGGGATCCGGCGCGGCCCTCAGCCCTGTGAGGCTGCTGCCTCTGTGCGTCCCCGAGGGAAGCGAAGGGCCGCGTGGCAGCGGCGGAGGCGCCCAGCATGCGTCCCGGGAGGTCTCTGGATTCCTCCCAGCGGAGCCGGTCTCTGTGGGGACGGCGGGCAGCGTGGGGGCAGGGGCGGGCCAGGCCCGTGGGCACCGCATGCCTCGCGCTGGGCTCCGGCCGGGGCTCAGGGAAACGCCAGCACCGCACAAATGCCGCCCGGCCGGCGAGAGGAGAGTGGGCGGGATGGAGAGACCTGCACGCCGGGAGGGCAGCGTCCACACGGCCGCGGCGAGTGTCCCGGGCCCCCGTTGGCCCCGTCGGGGGGCACACGCAGGCTTCCCCTGGGAACGGGGTGGGCTCCCACGCTCCCGTAACCAACGGGGCAGTTCACCGCACACCAAGCACACGTGTGTGCCCACAGATGTATGTGTGTGAGCCTGAGTGGAGCGCGTGAGCGTCAGAGTGCCAGTGTGTGAGCGTGTGAGCGTGGGGGTGTCAGTGTGAGCGTGTGTTAAGAGCGTTGGTGCGCGTGAGCACCTAAACGCGCGTGTGGGTGTGCGTCAGTGTGAGTACGTGTATGAGGTGCGTGTCTGTGTAAGTGCGTGTGTGGGTGTGTGTGGGTGTGAGTGCGTGTGTATGGAGGTGTGTAAGCATGTGTGTGGGTGTGTGTATGTGAGTGCGTGTGGGGTGTGTGTGTGTGTGTGTGTGTGTGTAGGGAAGAGTGCCAGTGTGAGTGTGTGAGCGTCTGTGCGGGCGTGAGGCTGTGAGGAGGGTGAGTGGGTGTGGGACATTCCGAATGGGGGGTCTGGATGTGTGTGTGTGTCAGGAGTGTATATGTGTGTGTGTGTGAGTGAGTGCGTACCTGTATGCGACTGGCTATGACTGAGTGTGAGAGGCTGTGAGTGTGTGTGTGTGTGTGGTTGCGTGTGTACGGTTGCATGGATGTGCGTGTCAGTATGTGAGTCCTTGTGTGTGTGTCCACATCCGTGGGGGTAAACGTGTGTGTGACTGTGTCTCAGTGAGGGTGGACAGCGGGGCTGACACTGTCCCTTGGCCCCTGAGTGCCGGCACCTATCGGACACTCCCCCCACCTCCACCAGCACGAGGCCAGCGTGCCTGGACCTGGAGTGTGCGGACAGAAGCCAAAGACGACAACCACAAGTTGTCCTACGGGATAGTTGCATGTGTCGGCCCCACCTCACAAAACACCCACCTGCAAATAAATAAAATAAAATAAAATAAAACCCCCGAAGGCAGCAAACATGAGGTCAAGCGGAAGGAGATAGGACAGCGTCCCTCGGCAACGAGACCCGCTGGCCGCACACAGGGCCGGGGAAGCCGCCGCACCGTCTGCGCTTTCCGAGGGGGGCAGGTCGGCACCCTCCGTCCAAACACTGCCCTGCCATGGCCTTTGATTTAGAAGCAAATTTTGTTCTGAGACGTGCTCTGCCACCTTATTAATCGCTCGGTGACTGCGCACCCACCAAACCGGGGCCGAAAAATCCCTGTTGGAAATAATAACCGCATCCGGGAGGCCGGTCCACGGTGGAGAGAAACATCTTTCAAAATTGCGGACGGATGTCAAAAGTAGCCGGGAGAGATGTGCACTCAATTCCCTCCTCTGACCTCTCCGGATCCCGGGCATTCAAGGTAAAATTTGATCTGCTTGGATGCACGTGGCCAGAGAGACTCCAGCGCGCTCTTGTCAATAAAGAGAGACGGGAAATATTAAAGCGGGGAAGCGCCGTCCCACCGAGGGCCTCCGGAGGGGATTGACACCAAGCGGCGGGAGAAAAATAAAGGAGGGGGACCTTCTAAAATGGTGAGTAACTGCATCTGGGCTCAGCCCACACCCCACCCCCCCAACGGCAGCGCGCCCGAATAGATCATTATCTCGGGCTGTGTCTCTCCGGTGGGAAGACGCGGCTTCTCTTTCCCAGTGCAAAGGGCACAAGAGGAGTGTGTGGGGGAGACCCCCAGGGTCCAGCTTCCCCAGCTTCTGAAATGTTTCCCGCGCAGACAGGACATGCATTGCCTCGCACAGGGAGGAGTCGTTGGCCATACTCGACGGACACACAGACACATGTTCCTGCACCAACAAGCCGGCTTCCTGCAGGAGGCCCCTGCCTAAGCGCATCAAACGGTTTTCAACATC